GTGTAATTAATTTGAACACAGTCCCTCACGTATAGAGAACGTTTCTCACTTCAGCTTGTTCATTCTTGCAATATAATACATCGCAGTTGGACAGTCATGTTTTACGCGAGTCAGTGACGTCATGACGTATGGATGCAAATTATGACTGCAGGTTGGAACAATGAGCGTATATTTAGCACTTAGGCGAGAGATGTTTGTTTACGATTATGCCCTTGCCTTTTCTGGATAAATGATCACAGTGTTGGTTTGCCAGTATCCTCCATTGAATGGATGTTGGTAAGGTGACCATGAGGGGGTGAATGAAGATGACGTATGTATAATTATGGATGATATCATGGTTTAGATGTTATATAGAGGAGGGCGCAGAGAAATGGGAAATTTAAAGTAGATGTTACAACTACAAATTTGTGAAAAAATGTTGGATAAAATCAGAGAAGAAGGAAGCATTATTGACAATTGTTGGATGTCAGATAAAACCCATTTTCTCCTGGGGTACGTTTGTGACTACTTTTATACCAACATCTGAAGAGCATTGTTTACTATTCTAGACCAACATACGTTACTCAGCTCACGACTCACAATGAAGAAAACATCGCCAACACCCCAGAGAATACATCGTGCCGGGCTGTGCAAAATCTTCAGTATCGACTTACTGAATTTGTACGGCGAAATAGACCATATCTTTATTGCGACTCATAACTGGTGCATTAGTTTCTGCCTACTCAGAGACCGTGACTCTGAAACCAGAGCCAGGAACATCCTACCACCTACCGAAATATACTGTTCACTACCTCGCAAGCCAAAAAAGGAATGGTGGTCGATTTGTCTGAATAATAATTCACTAATAATAACAAAAACATGAAAAAATATACACTGGCCTAACTTTCCGGCCTGACCAAGATATCGCCCATCAATGAGAAACGTTCTGACAACTTTATAGTATTATCTTTAATTGCAAAGCTATAAGTGTGCAGCCCACATCTCTTACGTTTTGTAGAGAGATGTACTTGAATAGGATGCAGTGTGTGAAATCGCATGGTATTTAGATCATTCACGACAACGTACCAGTACTTACTACTCGGATTACAAATAATGTGAGGGACTAAGAAATTGAGGAGGGAATTGAACCACGCACCACAGTCCAGATTGAGCACTCAGCGATGTCTACCACATATACATTGATGAAAAACCTTCAGAGAAGAAAATTTTCTGATGAGTGTGAGGTGAAAGGAGTGGTTTTCGCCACTTTGCAAACAAAAGTTTGGAGTAATTGTTTCAAAACCGTAGAAACGTTAATTAAAAGAAAATTGGGTTGGAGCCAAGAATGATTGAGTTGAAAAGTTACGTAATTTTTTTATATCTATCAAAAATAGGAGTTAAAGCCAAAAACGTATGGAACCAATCACGTAA